TTGGGGGCCACCATGAAACTGGAAGCAGTTCCAGTTCCTTTGAAAATGATATCCTATCCTAAAGTAGCCTTTATCTTCTCTCTGCTCCCATGTCCTCTGTTCAAATGACTCTTCAGGCACTTTTGATATTTTATGGTGCAGCCTACGTACTTTGGCACACTGGTAAGAAGATGGGTAAGAGTCAGACATCCTGGGTTCAGATCCCAGTTGTGCCACTTGGCAGCTGAATGATACAGCTGACTCACTTTGCCTCTCTCACCAGGACCAGGACAAAGTGAGGCTGCTCAAACGTAAGATGCTGGAGTTACTCATGCGCAGGGCCTTGCAAATGCAGTGTTGGCCTTCTCACTACCTGAAAGTAAGGCTTCCATGAGTTTTCTTATATTTTATGCCATAGGTATCTCTCTTGACTTACCCTACCCTAGTCCCTGCCCTTCCTCTTGTCCTTGGTTTGTAATACGTAAAGAAGCAATAAGAACTTCTCTGATAAGGGACATTGTAAGGATTAAAAAAGTAAATGAAGTAAAGTATATTGCCTGGCACATAGTAAGGGCTCAGTAAATGACTGCCATTGTTTATCTGATTGGACAAGAAGCTCTAGAGGAGCTGGTCTTCATTTCTAATTCATTTTATTGATAATAACCACACAATGTCAAAACTTGGAAGCAACCAAGATGTCCCTCAGTAGATGAATGGATAAAAAACTGTGGTACATCCAGTTTAGTGGAATATTATTCTGCACTAAACAAAAACGAACTGTCAGAGACGACATGGGGGAAAGTTAAATGCAAATAAATAAATGAAAGAAGCCAGTCTAAAAAAGACTGCATACATACTGTATCATCCCAACTTTATGAAATTCTGGGAAAACAAACCTTTGGAGACAGTAAAAAGATCAAGGGTTGGAGAGAAAGAGCAATGGGTAGACAGAACACAAGATTTTTAGGGCAATAAAACTACTCTGAATGATACTCTAATGGTGGATACATGCCAGGATACATTAGAATGTATGGCACCAAAACTGCACCCTAAGGTAAATGAGGGATTTTGAGTGACAATGGTGTGTCAGTGTAGGTACCATGATTGGTACAAAGGTACCATAATGGGAGAGGCCATGAAGGTTTGGGGATAGGGATATATGGGAACCTTCTACTCAATTTTGTAGAAACAAAACCAAAATTGCCCTTAAAAAACACCAAATATTACATTAAAAACAATAGGTGATCAATTATGTTTTGAGTGAATTCATGAATATTTGCTAAGTTTGGTAATTGGATGAGTAGCCCACAATCAGGCAAATATTTTAAGCTTCAGGTCCCTGGATCAAGAGTTCTTGAACTAATTCATCTTCTTGTTCATGCATGGAATATAGAAGGCTTAGGTGAGGTGCTTTGGACAGAAGAGGTAGAGCCCAAACCTCAGAACATTTCTGAGGTTGGTTTTCAAATTAGAACCGTGAAGGAAAAGGCTGTGGAGTAGGATGGATGTGTGCTGGAGGGACTGGCTCACGTCTGGATTACAGCAGCTCAAATGTGCTAAGTGGTTTTGGTCCATGAAAGCTGGGCCCATCAGGAATGGACTGGCTCCTTCTTGGGTATGCACTTGCCAACTCCCAGGGAAGGAGATTCTTTCTTGGAACACAGCGACTATCTTGCATCTTGCCTGGAACTCTGTGAGACTCTTGGCAATGCCTGGCCCAGCTGGGTGCACCCTGAAACACTACATATATTTGATTCTGAGGTAGATATTCCTCTTTTACTTTGTGGTTGAGACTCATTAACTCTCAATAAGGACCTGTGTCGAAGGAGGGAGTTTCCTCCCTTTCTAACAAAAAAAATGTTTTCTTCATTGGGCCACAGTTCCTGAAACTGATTTGTTCTCCTGGCACTGGACAGTATGTTGTGTGGCACCCTGAGGCTGGTGAGAAAGGGGACAAACTCAAGCATTCTTGGGTAGGAAGGCTCTTCCTTGCATTTACCACAGTTGCTAAAACACCATCCTTAATAGTCTAAGACTGGTCTGTATTTGCATGGAAACTGTGTTTGTGTGGAATTTTATTTAATATTTTACTTCAAGATGGCCATAATAAGAGCCAGACTGTTGATGAGTCTAACGATTAGAAGCAGCCTCAAGATTCCCCACACAATCATGTTGGGTTCAATTTTGAGATCTTGTTCTAATAGCTCAAAATGTGTGGTGTTTATCTAGTTCCCCCAATGCACTCGCATCCATTGGTGCCAAACACATGCATTAGGTTTTCAGCTGCTCTAGTTCACGGGTGTCTCGGAGTTTACGTAAAGCAGTCTGGAAGGGTGTGGGGAGGGCTCATTTAGTAACTGCTGTATTTACGGTCATCATGTTACTGTTAAATTGGCACGCACGAGGCAGCGTTCAGAGTGGCTGTGCGTGTGCACTCGCCATCCTTGGATGTGCTGTGTGCTTGGAAACGGGGAGTGCGAAGAGGGCTCCTGGCGTCAGGGACTTGGCTCAATGTCTGCACCCATCTGAGTCATGTCCACTATTGCACCTGCTTCCCGCAGAGCCAAACTTACACATTATCACCATTACTCTTCAATTGTGCTGAAATTGCACTAATCTATGAAGTCTGTCTTTTCCTTTTCTTTCTCTGCCACATAACAGGATCTCCAGGGCTATGTGTGTGTTGAGGTGTGTGTGTGTGAAGGTTTCATTCTGAGTCACTGCTTGAGGGATTTTTTTATTGTATTAGTTTTCAAGGGATTCTAGTAATGAAAATATTGCAGTGATAGGGAAAGCAAACATCTAAACTGAAAAGAAAAAGAAAAAACCAATCAGATGGTAAAGAATTTTGCTTTTGTTTAAACAGGTAATTTCCAAAGCTGTGATTAGGTCAGAGTGTGGGGTTGGAGGGGCTCTTCTGGTACAGTTAGTGGTGTTCACCAAAGAATGACTGACTTTCAAAGAGAGAAACTCAGACTCTGAGAATAAACTGATCACTTCCTTTTATTTCTTATGTAAGCAAAAATTCCCAGTGTAGCCAGATGTGGTGGCTCACACCTGTAATCCCAGCACTTGGGAGGCAGAGGCAGGAGAATTGTTGAGGGTTTGAGGCCAGCCTGGGCTACCTAGTGAGTTCAGAGCCAGCCTGAATTACAAAGTGAGACCCTGTCTCAAAAAAAAAAAATTGCCAGTGTAAATATCAAGACATAATCCCACATTCCCATCATATCTCATTTGACACAAATTGCCAGTTCTAAACTCTTCAATACCTGAGAAATGGAAAAACAGTTGCAGAGCAAGAGTAAAAGAGTCTAGATGAGGAGTTGGTAAATGATAGTCCATGGACTGGCCTGTTTTTGTAAATAAAGTTCTCCTGGAGTGCAACCATGCTTACTTGTTTATCTATAGTCTATGGCTGTTTTTGTGCACAGTGACAGAGCTGAGTAGTCAGGACAAACATTATATGGACAAACAATCCTAAAACATTTATTGAGTTTTTACTGAAAAATTTTGCCAACCCCTGGTCTAGACAAATAGTTGGAGGAGCCAAATGTTGGCTAAGGGTCCCCAACTAACAATTCCAAGAGAGGAAACTGGGTTGGCTTTAGTTGTTGTCATGCACTGAGCACTTCTAAAAATCCTACAAGCCAGTAAACAAAACTCCCTACTATTTACCTTAGTTTGAAGCAGCAATATGGAAAGTAAAGTTAGGTCTGAATATATTTTATATGTAACCTGGATCTCTAAAGCATTACTAGGTTGCATAAGTCAAGGCCATTTCTCAAAACTTTTAATAGAGGACAATGCTGGTGGCTACTGAAGTACTGCTGGTGCTGTGTGTGTGTGTGTGTGTGTGTTTGTGTGTGTATAATATTCTACACTGCTCAAAACTACACACTCTACTGATATATGTGGTCCTACTTCAAATACAACTCTTTAATTTAAATGTTTCCCAGTCTTTGAAAATGGTTTCAAGATTCACCAGAAATGTGTAGTTTAAGGAAGCAGATGAATTTCTTAGCTGAGACTTCTAGTGCCAACATGCTCTACCCATTCAGCAAAACAAGCCATCAAGCATATGACTATTGTATCTGAATGCACACTTCCCACAGTGGCAGGAATTACTGACAGGGGCTCAGAAGCCAGACATGGGCTCTAGGTTATTTTTCACATATTCTGATGGATTCATATCTCCATCCTTTGTGGCCAGATTTGGCCAGTCTGATCAGGAGTTCAGGAGTTGACAGAGAACAAATCAAAAGACCACAGCGGTTAAGACGACCATCTCACTAGCTCTGAGTTGAGCTGTCTAGACAAGGGCAACACAAGGTGGCTGGAACAATATTGGATTGGCATGTCAGGAGTGACCCGAAGGTTTTGAAATATCATTAAAGATAGGGCTTTTTATTTGGTTACGGGGGAGTTTTCCTCTTCTTCTCATTTAAATATTAGGCAGATTATAGACAACAGACAACACAGTAGAGTCTACCAGCAAACTTTTCTGCGTAGACATGTGATTAATTGCAGCGGAAAAGCCAGTTGGGGCACAGGAACACTTAGACCTCCTTCCTGACACTGGGGTTTGTTCTATGTCCACAGTTTTAAACGGCTGAAATCTAGTTCTCTAATCATAACTCTCCTTTCCTAGAAAAATGTACTAAGCTTGAGATAATGACTTAGGGAAGAAATAGTATGTAGTGCAAATATCAGTAAGAACCTAAGCTGGGCATAGTGTGCATGCCTGGGAGGCTGAGGGAGAAGGACCTCACATCCAAGCCCAGGTTGGGCAACGAAATGACTCTGAGAGACTCTGTGTCAAAACAAAATACAGACACAGGCTGGGCATGTAGCACCACACACACACACACACACGCACACACACACACACAACTAACTGCAATTTTTGAGACTTGTGTTAAAAGTTAAAACACCTGTTAATTATAAGATTTATCACAGAAGCACAGGACACCAAGTTTTTCTTCATTTTCAATTCAAGTACAATAGGATCGTATGGCTGAAGAAAATGTCACCATTCTATACTTTTATTAGAAAACAAGTGTTGGCTGTAATTTTTTCTTAATGTTTCATAGATTTGCATGTTATGCTTGCACAGGGGTCATGCTAACCTTTTCTGTATTTGTTCCAGTTTTAGTAGATGTGCTGCAGAAGTGAGTACAGTCCAATTTCTAAAATTTTCTAATTTCTAGGCTTAAAAAGTCCACAAGCCAACATCTTTGAGTTTTGGTACACACCATCACACAGTCCACTTTTAAGTTTTAATTTTACACTTGATCTTAGCCAAAAGGCTGAAAACGATATAAGTTTTAATTTTAAAGAGACCCTTTGTTTTTAAAGGAGGATTTTAGTAGTGTTAGTTTTCAGAAAAGGTAACCTGCCATTCTAATTTTGGAATAAGAAGGTGAGCTTTATATGGGATGCTCATAAAAGGTGTTCTAGAAAAAAAAAACAAAAGCTCTCAAACCTTTCAGGACTGAGCATGTGGGGCTAAGTGTTTCTTTAGAGCCAAGTGCCAGACTCTACAAGCCACATAGGAGCAGCAACCTACGCCTTCCATGACCACATTGTGAAGGCACATTTTTGTGTGACATTCCTGCCGGAGCAGCCAGGCTGTAATTAAGATCTAGCCAGTTAGATGATCGCTAGGGAGAGGTCTAGGGTGTGGGGAACACTTTGAATTACATTCCATGCAAACATTAGGCTGTCAAAGCTTAGGAGGGCTCTGATTGTCCACAGTGGGGAAAGGACTGAAACGAATGCTCACGTACGTCAGCATGAAACAGCTGCTGACATAAATCGAACATGTGCAACTTTTTTGAAAAGGTGGTATCGAGTAACAGGCCGACAGCTATCCCTCTCAGCAGTTTAGACCTCTTTCTTCTCTCCACTTTGGCTCTTTGTTGAGTCACTTCCATCAGGCAAGGTTCCATAGGATAAGCCATTTGAATCTGGTTGTATTTTGTCCAGCATTTGTTTCCCTGTGGAGATAGTAACGTAAAAAGATCTTTTGAGCTCCTACAAAAGAAAAAGTCCTAATACTTTCTGTTCAATCTAGGCCACATTCTACTCCTTCATAAAATACTATGTGGTCACCCTCTAAACAGAAAAGATAGACATCAAGGAAGAAATGGCTCTTGGAATTCCATATGGCTTGATAATGTGGTCATGTGCTGAACATGTGAGGGGTGGAAATCAGGTTGGCTCAGTCAGGAGTTTCATGTGAAGCATTCACTCGCTTTGTGAAATGGAAGAGTTAAAAAAAACCCACACTTTATTTCCAAACAAGCTGTTTATGATGCACACCCTTGTCACAAATGCCAAGTCTTGCACTGAATGCTCTTGGGTGATAAGGTGGCTCACGTGGCAAAGAGAACAAGGAATCCATTTCCTAGAGCCACCATTTTTCAGTTTTAAGGGTGAGACTTTCATGGTTTTTGGTTCCAAGGCATGGTGCTAACAGAATGGTGGAGGAAGCTCTGGTAATATTTCCACTCCTGGAAACCTACAGGTCACCCCAAATCCCTAGCAAGGCTAGAGACCGCTGGGGATGGATGGGGGTAGGGACCCAGCAGACTGCTTCATGACTGAGTAGATTATTTCTCAGTGGAAATGAGAAGCAGAGAGATGATGCATATTGGCTTAATCTGGATGAGGGAGGAAGGAGGAGGGGAAGAAGCTACTCTTCATCTGGTGACTGTGATGAGATCACAAGCCACAGTCTTCCCAGGAATGATGCTTCTTAGTCACTTAAGCTCGAGTCCGCTGATGTTCCTTCCCAGGCTGTCCACATAGCAGGAATCCAAGAAGCCAGTCCTCACGATTTTCCCTACTCTTCGACACTTTAGGGAAGCCCAAAATAGAAATCCCCTACATCAAGAAAACATTGTCAGTTCTTTTACAGCCCCAGTGTTCTGTGCAACACTGACATTCCATAACTCAACATTTACACTGAAAACATCACCCTTGGGCTCATCAGTAAATGTACTTTTTTTGAGAGTAAAAATTATGTTTCATATTAACACCCAAAATAATGCCAACAATTGTTCGTTTATAAGGATAAAACTTTCTATTATGAATCAGAGGAGATGTATATATATTTTACCAGGAATACTTCCAAAATCAATAATAGACTGTTGCAGATGTTCCTTTTCTCGATTTCTTGTGACCAAAACCACGCCAAGGAATGACAGAAAGCACCTGTAATAAAAATATTAATAAAGAACACAGGAACACTGAAACAGCTTATGGTATTAAATAACTGAGCTCCATATTCTACACGATGACATAAACTCCATCAGTTTTGTTTATCCTGTTTCTCATGGTAAGTTGCCTAGAACTAGTCTTAATTATTGCAGCCAATAATATTTGTACCCAGAACCAAGACTTGGGTGGCTTCCAATAAATCTCTGCCCCAGGTTGTTACCATCTGGATGATAATTCAGGCTCTAAACCCTTTGGGTAGACACCAGGTCTCATTTTCTATCCATGCATGCCCAGACCCATTACTGGCATGCACATGAGTGAAAAAACAATTTATTCTTTAATTTTCTAAGAAATCTCATTGTCCTTGGCCATAAGAATAGTCATAGTTTCCAGCCCCCAGAAGTTTGGCCTCGCCCAAATGTCTTATGAAATTGAATTTTCAAGATAGATGGTTTCCTTTGCTGAAAATAGATGATGCTCAAGTGTGTACAGCAGTGGCTACACTGAACAGAGGATCAAGGAGCAGCATAGCATTAATGGAGCACCGGCTGGAGCCAGTAGAAGATTCTATACAGTGGTGAGATGTTGTCAGGCTTCTGCTCTGTGTTTGCCAGCGATGCCTGCAATGATGCCAACCAAATTTCTATGAGGGGTCAAGCTGGGCAAGATAGCACAAGAAGGGAACACTACTAACCCGAAGTTATTAGGTCCAAAGCTAAGGTACAATCCCAACCTTGGCCTTTTATTTTGGGTGATCACAGAGGCATTCGTGCTCCTAGACTTCAGATCTCAAGTTCCCAAAGTGTGGTAGGTCTGATATAGTATGAAAAGACTATGGGGTGGCCACAAGCCCTGTGGATTTATACTGACTTTGTCTGGAACTGAAAATCCCCAAGGCTTCAGAACCCACAGAGGGGGCTGGAATCACAAAGCCAAAGACACCGAACCCCATGTAGGGTGTTAAGTTCAAAAATATGTTTCTTTTAAGAGTTTAGGAAACTGATGTTTCTTACATTATTTCTAATTTTCTATACTTCAGGTACAATGTCAAAAATCCTACATGAAAGTAACAGAATTTCACATACCTTACCTCTGAGGCATTTACTCACCCAAACAGATATATAAATATGGTGAGAAAAGCAGCACCAAGGAATTCCTGATAAAAGATGATACCTCCATAGAAATAGAAGACAAAGTTAACTTTAGGATAGGAATATTTACAACACTGCACATTGTTTAAAAATTATGTAAATGTATTTTTTTCTACATAAGGTTACCCTTAAAATGCATTTAGCAGTTTAGCTAAAAAAAAAAAGTTGCACGCCATACTTATATTTTAAGCAATTCCAAAAAGAACACAGAGTTGTAGACTCTATGTAATATGATTATCATTATTTAAAATTAACATAATTGACATAACTTTTGCAAGCAGACGATTCTTACCTAGTCCTGGATTTCCCCACTGGAACATACAAGAAAGCAAAACTCTAGGTACCATTTCCTAACTACAGGTTTAGGTCCGGGTCAGCAAACCTGGCCTGGGAGGGTGGTCCTGGGCCCCTGACATGGCAGGCTTTACGGTCTCTCTTTGTCATCCTGTGGGCTGCAGGCCTGGCCATTTGCCCATGCGGGCACTGGATGAACACTGACCACTGGGGTGTTGCCCCAGTTCCCCTTCCGTCTGCCAATCCCTCCCACCTCCTCCTTCCAGTCTTTCCTTCCTGGCATTGGAAACGAATGTGCATGGTCTCCTCTGAGGAGCTGCTTCTCTCCCTGTTGATCTCCATGATTTCTTCTTGTTTTAAAGATCCAAGGGCTTTGTAGAGTTTTAATGAATAAGATATCTTTAAATTATGAACCACCCGAATTAATTTCTTGTGTATGTGGTGTTAGCCTTTCTAGCCAGTCAACAAATATATCTTGAGTGTTTTCTCTGCACCATGAGGGAGACTGTGTGGTGACCAGGCTAGAGTCCTGTTCTCAGTTTCAACCTTACCTCCTCACTTACACAATGAACTTCTTACGTGAAGGAGCCACATCCCAGTCTCATAAATATTTATCAAATGAGCGAACATTTCAGAAGCATTTTCCATCTTATTACTTACTTCTTTGTAATCCTTTTAATGTTTTCATGTTATTCTAAGAGGATGCACCATATTATTAATTTCTCCAAGAGCATTTTAAGTTGCTTCTAAAAGTAGCAATGAGCTTCTTTGTACATGTTTTTTTCCAATGTATTAGGATTTTCCTCTCATTAGAATGGGTTTCTAGAAGTGAAATTTCTTGTTCGAAGAGTAGAAACTTTTTTTTACTTTAAAAATTATAGTAAAATACACATAATGTAAAAGCTACCATCTTACATTTTGAGTGTACAGTTCAGTAGGGATAAGCATGTTCACATTGCTGCATAACCAATTTCCATAACTTTTTCATCGTGAAAAACTGAACCCATTAAGCAACTCCCATCTCCTCCCTCCCCTGCTGTCCTTGGCAATCACCATTCTACTTCCTGTTTTAATGAATTAGATTATTTTAGATACTTCAAATAAGTGACTTTTTTTGTGACTTATTTCACACAGAATACTGTTCTCAAGGGTCATCCATCTTGTAGCTTGTGTCCCAACTTCCTTCTGGTTTTTTTTTTTTTGGTACCGGGGATCAAACTCGGGTCCTTGCGCTTTCGAGACAGGTGGTGGAACCACTGAGCTAAATCCCTGGCCCTTCAACTTTTAGTATTTTAAAGGAACTGTCATACTGCTTTCCATATCAGCTGCACCATCTTATAGTCTACCAATGGTTCATGAGAGTTCTAATCACTCCACATCCTCTCTCATATTTGTTTACTTGTTATTTTTTTGTGTGTGGGCTGGTTTTGTTGTTGTTTTTGCACTAGGGATTGAACCCAGTGCCTTCCCACTGAGATACATTCCTACCCCTTTAAAAAATATTTTTATTTTGAGACAGGGTCTCACTAAGTTGTTAAAATGGCCCATACTGTTTTCGAACTTGCAAGCCTCCTGTCTCAGCCTCCCAGAGTGCTCAGATTACAGGCATGTACCACCATGCATTTTCTATATATAATAGTAGTTATCCTAATGAGTCTGATTGTGGCTTTGATTTGCATTTCCTTGATGACTAGTAATGTTGAACATCTTTTCATATGCTGTTAGCCACTCTATATTTTCTTTGCAGAAACATCTATAGTGTTTAAGTCCTTTTCCTATTTTTTGATCAGGTTATTTATATTTTTGTTATTGACATGTAGAATCAAAGAGTAGAATAATTTAATAACTTTGATAAAAGTGACGGAGCTCAGTTCTAGGAGGGTGGTACCACATGCCCAGGCCCACAAGGATGCCTATGACAGTGTAGCCTTGTCTATTTCAGCTCTTGCAATAAAAAGAACAAATGAAAACTATTAACTTAGTAAGCAAAATAATGGCATCCCATTTTAATTTTAAGCTATACTTTTGATGGTGGCGGAGAAGTTAGTCAAGAAGTTTTATTTCCATTCCATATGTAAAATCAGATGAACTGTTATCATTCTCAGAAATTCCAGCTTCTCTGACTCATCAATTCCTCTGTGGGCTGGGAAGTGAGACCCTGCCATATTGGCCTCCTAGAACACCTTACTTCAGGGAACGGTATTCTTTATACACCTTGCTGCACATTAATATTAATTATTAGCCTGTATGTTGTGCCCATAACTCTTTTTGGTCTTCCTTTCATTTTCCAATAATTCTAGGACACACCAATGTGCAATCTTTCTTCACTTCATCAGAAAGCATTAAATGCTAAAAAATTAGATGTCTTGGGATGCAATCTTTTTCTTTAAATATAAGGCCTAATTTTGAGAAACAAAATGTATTAATTACTTTAAAAAACTGTCCACTGGCAGTCACATTATTTGATAGAAAATAAAATAGATGTAGCGATTAGGAAACAAGTAATCCCTAATGAACTCCAAAATACATGACCTTTACATTGAGAAGTGAACTTCTGAGCAGAGAAGGTAGTAAGTACACCAAATGAATGAGGCCGTATCAGTAACAAATATAGAATGACCTACTTGAATCTACTGTACTTTGGTTTGGACCAAGCTTTAAATTTACAGTCTGTAATAATAAAAAAATGTCCATTAAAATATGAGGACTGCAACAGTAGAGAAACAGAGGCCAGAGAGTGAAGGCTGTAGTTTCCATCCTCATCTGTTGACCTTCCTTGGGATGCTGCACTGGGTTTGGGGCCCATTCTGATCAAGCTGTTGAGGGCATGAGGGGAGAGTTCATGGACTTGGGGGTGTTTGGCCCAGAGACAAGACTCCAGAGGACCTTTCAGTTGCTTTGACTATCAGAAGGGCTGGCAAGGAGGAAGACTCCAGAGAGTGTAACAAAGTTGACTGTTTTGAATTCACAAGGAAACTAACTTCAGCTCCAAAATAAACACTTTTTTTTTTGTACGGGAATGGAACCTAGGGCTTCATGCATGCCAAGCAAGTGCTCTGCCACTGAGCTGCAGCCCAGCCCTAAGGAAACACTTTCTGACAGTTAGAACTCTCTGAACAATGACAGGATCCAAAACAGGATGAGCTGTCTCAGGAGGCAGGGAGCAACAGGGAGCATACACAGAAAGTAGAATGGCCCATCCAAGAGGATGTCTTGGAGGAAATGCAGTCAGGGAGTGGAGGCCCGGGGGGAAATGGGCTTCACAGCTCCTTATAGTCTAAAGATTCCCTGATTCTCTTATTCACTCTGAGACAGACTTTATTTATGCTCGTGGTGGGGTGGATTCACCTACACAGGGAAAGCCAGCACTTACCAGCGATAATGGCACTGGTTGTGAAGAAAATATGGTTCACCGGCACCACTGCTGTCGTATTGTAGAGCTTTGTGGCTTGATTCAGGAACCTAGAGCAGAAGGTACTTTTTGAAGCTCAGGCTTAGAGATGCTGAGGAATAAGTTAACAATGGCTTCAAGAAATGCATGTTCTTTAGTTATAACTACAAAGGGAAAGGAAGTGCAGCGAGAGGGCATTTCCAATCAGCAGTCATAGCTTATATGCATCTGATGTATGAGATCAGATGTCAGGTTTTATGGTCTGTTTAAACCAACAACAGTAACAATGAAAAGCAATTAATCATATTCCGAGGCCACAGAAGTTTGAGTTGGAAGCGATTCAAGCTGCTGGACCAGTATCACACTGGGGCTGATTCATTAGGATAGGCCCTAGAATCTGTTAAATATCATATCTGGGGAATAGTAGAGCTATCCATTGACATGCCATGTGCCAAGAAAGAAGATGGAGAAGTAAAGGAATGTTTAATGTTTCAAAAACAATGCTTGGTGCTCCAGCTGCAGAGCACATGTGGGAGCTCAGCTTCCCGCTCTGGCCACCAGCAGGAATTTGGGTTCCCACACTGTGCTGTGCTACCCTGTTAGGGCCTGGACTGGTTTCCAAAGCACTGAATTGTTTGGGTATCACCTGGGTGCTTTAACAAGGCATAAATGGTTAGGTCTCAATCTAGCACAACCAAATGACCAAAAGAAAAAAAACCTTTGTGGTTATAGTCCAGTCTGTGTGCGTGTGCATACATACATGTATGTAGGGATACATGAATGCAGATCCACACATATGTTCGCATGTTACATGTTCAGACAAACTTCCTCAGGTAATTTTATCAGGCAAGCAGGGCCGAAAGCCACAGTTTTATGATGTGACAGGTGCAGGGACTGAAACATGGGTGAACGGACACAGTTCACCTTCAGTTGTGTGAGTTTTTTATATTCTTGAAGCATAGTACAAGGATAATCACACTAAGTCCCAAAAGATACTGTAGCAATATGGATTCATTCGGAAGAAAGAGAGAAGAAAAAAGTAGCAAGATCCAAGTATTATAAACACACTCAATCCTTTTGAAGCATGCTAAACAAAACAGTGGCAAAACACTGGTTTCTCTAGTAACCCTCCACAGGCCTTGCCTACATCTGGCCCAGAACAATTAGACTTTACTTCTGCTACCTACAGAAGGAACCACTCACATTCTGAGTATAAGCTTTGATTACCTACCTGCCATGGGGGGTAGGGTGGTGGGGGGAAGGGGTGCTTTTGCAGAGTGCTTTGAAGTGGATGGCAAACTCTCTGGCCAGCTCAATAGGATGTAGCAAGCAAAGGCATAGTCACAATGTGAAATGGAGGGGAAGTGATTAGAGCAGATGGATGTGGGGGAGAGAGGACAGAAATTAAAAATATTCCACGTCACCAGTATTAGGACCCAAGAGAAACATAAAACAATCATTCTGCAATCCCAGGGGTGCAAAGAAAATTCTGGCTAAAGATGCAAAGTTCTGGGGAAAGGATTTTCCTCCGGGCCAAATGTCTGATTTTGTCCATCTCTGGGCAATTAATGAGCATGAGCTAAGAATTGAAGGTGAAAGGTTCATGTATTTCCTATATTTAGAATGAAATTCTGGATGTGGACCTGCCCTTTTGATTTATTGCAAATGACAACCTGTGTACGATGGATATTAATTATAAGCAGAAGAGCATCAGGAAAGCATCAAAGCGCACTTAGCTGGATTATGGCTGCACTTTAGAATGCACAGGACATGAAGGCGATGCTTAGCAAAAACCTATTATTGGATGCGAAGGACAAGGCAAGGCATGTCGGCTGTGGCTAAACTGTAGGCTGTTCACCCTTAGCAACTGAAGCTTATTTTAATTATCATCTGAAGCCAATTAAGATTAATGCTCAGAGAAGCACAGGAATGCTGAAAGATTAGTGAGGAGGTAGAAGCTAACTTACTTGACTTGGAAAACACAAGATGCTATCATGATGATAAACATGACATAGAAGATGGGATAAGTTAGTTGCATTTTATCCATCACAGAAAAAGTGATCATGCCTGAGACAGCTTTTACTGATATAACAGTCAGTGAGGCTGGAAAAGAAAACAAAAACATAAATAAAGCACATATTTGAGACAGGACTACAGACTCAGAACTTAGGGTTACATGGTGTCCCGATTATGCTTGAAGAAGGAAAACTTGTGAGCGGTGTAGGGGAGGGTGTGACGTGAACCCAGCAGTAGCTCTGTTGCTCAAGCTATGCTGGACTTCCCATGTGTTTCAATCAGCTGAAGGCCTGCTGGAGGCCTGGGTGGTTTTTTTTCTTTTTTTCTTTAATCTTTGGAGCAAGACACTTACTTTCCAGCCCTGGCTGTTGAAAGGATACTGTGGAGACTGAGAATACCGGTGCATGGGAAAGGCAAAAACAGCAAAGGGAGGGATAAGAAAAGTCAGGCTGTCCACATGACATTTATGGGAAAACATTAAACTGAAAAATTTAAAGCCAAATAGGTGAGAAGACTGGAAGCTGGAAAGCAACTTATTCTTTGAGTCTGCTAAGCATTGTTCTAACTCTGTGTGTGAGCCTTCCATTAGATGCCCAGAAGTTTTATTAGAAATGCTTTTCGACAGACAACAAGGGGCAGCTGGACCAGGGCTGAGTACTGATTTCTAGGAGTGGACCCTAAACCTAAGATTTACATTAGCGATATCTATTTATTTTCTGCATCAAAGAGGGAGGGGCTCATCCTTATGAAAACATATTTTTCATGGGTTTTGAATAACGAGTTCAGAAAAATGGGCTTGATAAAGTTACAGCACTGTGAAAGCATTGAGTATTTTCTTCTTGGGTTTCTGTGGGAAGAACATGGTACTTTTGTTCTGTCTCAGGCCCTTTGAAGTTACTATTGCAAACAATCCCACAGTTTGGCTGAAACCCACAGAAAGTTCAGAAATTATTTTTACATGAAATCAAAAGCACAGCGAAGGAGAAATATTCCCTTTGTTGCTGTTAATCTATTTTGTCATAATGTATCTGAGTATTTTCCTTTTAGCTTTCGAGAAGGTATTATTTCTATATACATATAAAATGTGTTTCACATAGCAGGTGAAGGCCAACCAGAAAGTGCCTCCTATAATTTCCTTTACCCAAACCTGAAAATATACTCTACCTTGAAGGGTACTAGGGTACAATTTCACATTAAGCATTTTTTTCAGTTAAAAGTCATAATTAATAAAGGAGACAAGGTGATAAATTCAAAAAACAGACCCCCATTCTGACCTCACAACCAGGCTTCTCTCCAGCTTAGAGTGTCTTTTGACCTGATCTTTTCATGTATTTCAGATGTCTGGCTAACTGACTATGACAATAGTTGTAGCTCAGCTCATCTAGGAATTTTAAATCTCTGTAGAGATCTATGTGTCACTTGATGGTTTGGGTTTGTAGGCCAGCTCTTCAAGGACCTTCAGTTCGTCCCCAAACACTGCCTGAGACTGGAGCACGGCGTGGTTAGTCTTGTGGTCTGACCGGCCAAATCTCGGGAAGAGATGATTAATGGAAGAGGAGCTGGACACACTTCTTTTAGCCTCAGAGCCTCTGGACTGCAAGAGACTCTAAAGGTCATCGAACTTAACCACCATCTGATCTTAAATTTGACTTAAACACAAAACAAAAACAAAACAGAATTTTTTTAGTAAATTGCTAAACTATCAATTTCAATAGCTAATTATTATATTTTCAAAGCATAAACAATCACCAACTGATTAATCACTATTATAGCTACAAGTTATTTCTAAAGCATTTTTAAATCTTTTTTTGGGGGGGGTGGCTGATGATGATAGATGGACATACAAAATTGTAATGTCATATCATTCTAATGTACTTAAATATGCATAGAAAAAAGGCTAGAAGAAAGTTTATTAAGATACTGTACTGTCACTTGTTTTCTATAGCACTACAAATAAGAATAAACTCTAAAGTCATTTAAATAAATCTATAAAATTGAATATTCATAAAAAATAGTGCAGAAAATCTTGGAGTGAAAAATTAAAATCACTCGTAATCTCAGCACTCACCCTCAAATAATTCTTAACATTTGGGTGCATTATTATTTCTCCATTTGTAAGTATGAGTGTACCACAACATGTGAATCATATGGAATACACTACTTAGGAGCCTATTTTCCATTACTATTTTTCTATGCCATGAAGTAGTCTTCCCAAGCTTGACTTTTATTGACTGTAAAGAATGCCTTTGTATGGGTGGATGTAATTTATTTTGACAATTCTCTATTTTGGGATGTTTAGCTTGAATCCATTTTCTATTAAATATGAGGCAGCAGTGAGTATTCTTGAATATAAATCTGTCTATCATTCTGCCTGTTTCCTTTGGAAAATCACATGAAGGGGAATTACTGTGTTGACAGCCACTGTGAAGGCTTCTGAAACATCCTGGCAAGATGCCTCCCAGAGAATGCCAGTCCCACTGTCATATTGCGCTACGGTGCTCTGCGACATGGATTTTTATAGTTTTCTTTATTTCCTTCTCTATTTTCCTAATTAACAACAACAAACATATTCCTTTCATTGTTACAACACCACCATGTGCCTACTCTGTGTTTAAAACTCAGCCCTCTCAGTTGATTTTTACTTAGCTCTTCATCCTGTTCCAAGGACTTCTAGATGGGTAGATCCTAGATCAATGTCTACTATTTAAAGCCATCAGTATTTACTTTCTTAATTCTGCTTTGACAAGCAGCCTGTGTAAGGCCAGAGAACTTTGTGCTTCCCCAGCCTCCTGACCTGTAGGAAGGACTGGGCTATGAGACTTGGGACACTTTCCGGAAGGAGGCTTCATGACTGTTAGGAACTGTATATAACACACTGTGCAACTGAACTCCAGAAAAAAACCCAACAAAATCCCACACCATATTTCACTGGAGAGTTCGTCAACATTTTAAGATTGCTAGGACAATAAATCTCAAATATTCTTATCACAAAAAATTAAGTATTCAAGAGGATGGTTATGTTAATTAGCTTGATTTAAATATTTCACATAGTATTCATAAATCATAGCATCATTTTGTGCATCATAAATTTATACAATTATAAATTATCAATTTATATATAAAATATATGTATGTGTGTGTGTGTAAAAGAAAGAGGACAGGCACGGGCAAAGGGAGCCACTCACTGGAAGCCAGATTTCCTTCCTCCTGATTGCTCTCACTTTCTATTTATTTTTTCATCTACCGGGGATTGAACTGTGGATGTTGTGCTTGCAAGGTAGGCGGCGGAACCACTGAGCTAAATCCCCAGCTCGGTCTACTTTACATCCACCACACAATATTATAGCAGCAGTAAAGAAAACACTCTGCCTATCACTTTCACTCCCTCTCGTTCATTTCCAGCTTTTGCCTGACGTGCTTTCAATCGCAATAAAACGCAGGCACAACGCTGTGTGCTATTTTTCCCACTTTATGTAACGCTGTATTTTTTGAAGCTGCTACATTGTAAAATACTCAAACAGCAAATAGAGCACAATGAAGAGGGGGCATCTTCTCTCTTATCTTACTGTGATGGGAACACTTCTGATATTTTAATGTCAAGTTCTTTATCAGGGATGGATATTCAAGTCTAACATGACTTTTCAACATCTATTGAGATAACTGCATGATATGCTGTTTTCCATCTTCGTTGAGGTATCATTGAAAAATAAAATTGTATAAATTTAAGGTGTACAACATGATTATATATATATTTATATAAATTATTACCATAATCAGGTTGGTAAACACATCCATCACATAGCATTTTTGTGTTTGTATGTGGTGAGAACACTTATTTTTAAAAAATTAATTAATTTTATGGGTACATTTTAGATATACATAATGATCGCATTCATCATAGTGAATTTGTACCTGTACATGATATATCCTGAGTAAAAGAAGATCAAGAACATTTAATATCTACTCTCAGCAAAAGCTGAATATACGCGACATTGGTGTTAGCTGTAGTCAGCATGTTGTATGTTAGATCCTCAGAACTATTCATCTTATGACTGAAAGTTTATTCCGCTTGGCCAACAACTCAACATTTCCCCTCTGTTTTGTTAACATGACACATGATATAAGGATTTCCTAGGAGTCATCCTTTGGGAAGCAGGAGGATCATGAGTTTGAAGCCTGCCTGGGCTACATACTGAGACCCTACCTCAAAAAGAAAAAAAAAAAAGAATCAACCTTTTATTGCCATAATGAACTAACTAGTTAATTAATTCAGGTGTTTACTGTGTGCTCATTGTATGTACTCAGTTCTAGGTAATTATACGTAGTGTGAATAAAAGACGACATGGTCTGTACCTTCATGGGACTAATCTGGGAGGGAGGCCAGGTCAGAAGAGTGTAGTAAACAGAAGTAGAATGTGAGTACAGATGGTTGTTAAGTTCACAAAGAAAAAGAACAAGTTTCATAAGACCAATTGACCATGAACATGGATTGCTCTGGATTCTCTTTGCTAATATTTCATTTAGGATTTTTTGGACCTGGCAGTGAATTAGTTCATAGCTTTCTATATTTGTGCTATCTTTTTCAGATTCGAGAGCAATATTATCTGATCATGTTTTAAAAAGATGTGAAAGTTTTCAAGATTTGAAGACATTGTTTTGAAACTGTGAAGTTCTTTTTTTTAGGATGTGGCTTTTCTAACAACTTTATTTCTTCCATAGTTATTTTCATTTAAAAAGTAAGTAAGCTGGGTGTGGTAGTGCACACCTGTAACCCCAGCACTTGGGAAGCTGAGGCAGGAGCGTCGCTTTGAGTTCCAGGCCAGCCTGGGCTGCATAGTGAGTTCAAGGTCAGCCTGAACCTGTCTCAAAAAACAAAAATGAAACAAAACAAAACAAAAATAACAAAAAAGTAAGTAGTTTATTTAGGTTTTATATAAATTAAAAAGTAATTTATTTAAGTTTTATTAAAATATATATCCTTTCATCCATTTATCTCATTTTGGAGTATTTGTGACTTGTTTTTCTGATGGAGGATATATATCATTAGTTGCCTTTTAAGAACTGATTCACGGGATTATTTATGAATTTGTTGCTGTTCTGTTTTCTATTTCATAAATTTTTGCCTTTCTCTTTATCAATTGTTCCTTTCTGCTTTCCTTAGATTTATTTCTGTATTGTTTCTGACTTCATGAGCTGAATGCTTTAACTTAAATTTAAAGCAACTAATTTCCTCCCAAGACAGCATTAGTGAATAACTATAGGTTTTAATATTGTTTTAACAATAATTTCAAAAATATGTGCTCCAATGAAGTCTTGGGTTTTCCTTTACCCAGCTGCAGTCTGAGAATTGTTAACATTTCCAGGTGGTAGGGTTTTGCTGGTTTCTATTTTTGTTATTATTTTCTGTTCTTATTTCACTGTGACCTGAGAATGTGGTCTGTACTATTTCAACTTCCTGAAATTTACTGAGGATCTCTTTTAGTGACCAATTATATAATCAACGTTTGTAAATGATACATAGGCACTGAAAAGAAAGTGCATTCTCTGTTTTCAGGATTTAGGGTTCAACAGAGGTACCAGTTCACCATTAAATATTCAGAGCCTAACAGATAAACACTATGCTTTTGAAATGACTTGAAAGTCACATTTATTTTGATGGTGGTTTGATTTTATTTATTTATTTTTTATTTTATTATTATTTTTTGGTACCGGGGATCGAACTCTGGACCTTACGCTTGCGAGGCAGGCACTGGAACCACTGAGATAAATCCCCAGCCCTGATTTTTTTTAAAAAAGCAAAATCTGGGCTGGGGATTTAGCTCAGTGGTTTCGCCGCCTGCTGCACAAGCGCAAGGACCCGAGTTCGATCCCCGGTACCAAAAAAAATAAAAATTAAAAAGCAAAATCACTGAATTTGTACAACAGTAAAATAAATAAACATTCAGATCTTTAATTTTAAACATATTTTTATTTCTACTTATCTTGTAAGAGCTTAGAGAAGTCTCCTACTTAATATTAATATTTCTATTAATATAGTTTTACAATTTTCTGAAGATTATCTGTAGCATACTGCATGTAAGGTTCTGTATTGAACTTTTTTTTTTTTAAATCAGTACAACCCTTCTGTCACATTTCATGTTTTCTGTCACGATTTTAACTTAGATAGTAATATCGTGATCCAATTCCTGCTTTCTTCTACTTTCACATTATCTGACTTACCTTGTTTCAGGTAAAATTGGTGTATGTAGCTGAAACATTTCGAGATCAGCAGAGCGCATCGGGAAGGACGCTGGTCCTGCAGCCCCTGTGTTAATACTTAGTGGCTCCTCATGGCTGGGCCAGGGGTTGAAAGCCAGAAGGAGCACCCAGAGGCCTGGGTGGGGGCTGTTTGAATAGCTTAAAGCTGTACCTATGTAAACGGGCTGTGTCCAATTTCAGGATCTTTTTCAAAATCAACTGGAGAGTTTCTCTGATGTTCAGTTTGAGAACCTTTTATATTAGGTAAACTTATTTCATTTACATTTATGCTCATAACTGACATGTATGATCTTAATTCTGGTAGTTAACTTACATTCCTATTTAAAGTTTCCTTTATTTTCAATATTTTCCTATATATACATTTTTCTTCTTTTTTGTTGTTTGCTTTTGTTCTCCTTTTCTGGTAACTTGGAAAAAAAAACAAAATAAAGTTTCCTTTCTGTTTGTTATATTGATTAATGCTACATCTGAATACAGGGTAGAGTAACACATTGTTTCTAAAAGTAACTATCTCAAACACAAACCCTCCAAGGGGCCAAGAATGTAGTGAAAGTGCAAGGTCCTGAGTTCTATCCCTGCTACTGGGAAAACAAACAAACAAACCACACATCAACCTTCCAATATAAAGGAGACAGAGGTACGAAAATCCCAGCCTCTTATTAGCATGGGGCTTGCAGCCTCCCCCAGTGGTGTCAGTACAACCTACAAAGTCATAGCAAAGAATACCTGATGGATGGGATGAGTTATTGACAAAGAAGAGGTAGAGGAAGAATTATAAAAAAAATTTCTGAAAAAGGAATTTCCCAAATGTTCTGTGAAATCTCTGTGTTGGTAGATGAAACCGAGGGAGTGAGGGGAGGGGTGGAGAGAGAGAGAGAGAGGGAGAGACATTAAAATATAGCGAATTATTGAAATGTCAGACTTCCAGCCTTGCAAGGGACTTCTTTAAAAAAGTGAGCGAGCTGGTAAATAATGAGTAAAAGAAATATGCTATTTGTCTCATATTAGCCATATTTTAAATTGTCCTAGGAAAATATAAACAGGATAGATCTCAGTAATTCCTCACCGAAAATAATTAATTAGGTTCATTAGTTTGTTTCTTTTAATATTTTTCAGTCATTTGTTAAAAAGTTCCCAAATTTTCAGGAAGTAAAACTGCCAAGAAAATCCTTAAATATATATTTAAAAGAATTAAAAATATATCAATTGATTCATCCAAAGCATAATTTATCTAATTTAGACTCAGTTTCTTTCTAAAGTTCAGAGCTGAAAAACAGAAACAGTAATAAAGGAATACAATATAAAAGTTCTTTCCTTCAAAGCTCATTTATGATTTAGCATGGTGTTATTAGACAGTAACGCAAAATATGTCCTTACCTAGAAGGGCCACCAGAGTCAGCAGAATCACAATGTGCTTCATTCCTTTTCTTTTATGGAAGTAGAGGAGAATGCAGAAAATTAATATTTCTAAAATCTAGAGAAAGAAAAGATGAAAAAAGAGTTATGCTACACAAAGTCTTCAAAATGCCACACTTTCTGACTTTGCAACAGTTCTCAGTAGAGTTGAGGGTGACTGAGGTTCCTAGGGATGATTATAAACATAGGAGAACAATATACGGGGCCTCAGCCGTGGGCACCCAGAGCTTTCACACCGCCTGTCCACTCTGCTACCCAAATCTAACTGTCCCGCGCTGGCCCCCTGCACCTCCAGTCTCGTTTACCTGGACTCATCCATGGGTGTGTTTAATAGCCGCTGCACATAACATGGGCACCCTAATCCCCTAGTCTGGAGCTGGGACTTGCTGGGGCCTCTGCCCTCAGTATCTGTCCTGTTCCCCAAGCCAAAGCTTCCTGTCTTTCCTTCCCCCTCTGCCATCCTCCCTGGACTATGCAGTAACAATAATCTGATTTGACTCTGATTTTACAACAGTCCAGCCCTTCAGCAACAGAAGAATCATTTAAAAATACAACTGGGAGAATGAAATATGTCATCCATAAGGAAGACTAGATATGCTATGTAGTTCATGTATTTACAGTAGTAATATGAGAAATACTCATATGCCTTCTGCCCAACCTAAGCAAGAACCTAGATACCTTAGAAGTCTTTTGGGTGCCCCTCCTTGGCTGTATAGCTCAGGAACCACTGTGCTGAATTTCATACGTGCCATTCACTTTTACAAATAGTTTATTAGAGTCTACATATTCCCAAACAACTTGTTTATTTTTGCATATGTGTGGTCTTCCTTTATCTAAATGGAATTGTTTCACTTGTTTGCTTTTTCCACTCTGCATTACATTTACGAAATCCATCCAGGATGATACAGGTAGTAAAAATATAAATCAGATCCAGTTATTCCTTTGGTTAAAATTCCTTTGATTTTCTGCCCCATTTAAATTAAAATCCAATTAGCTTCTGGGTAACAAGGCCCAGTCACCTTCTTGGATTTTATTTTGTTCTATTTACTTCTGGATGGTCCACTCAGTGCCAGGAACAATGGAGTCTATTTTTCCCCTTCCCTGCCTCCCTGCCTCGCTCCTTCCCTTCCTCCCTCCTTCCCTCTCCACCTCCCTCCTTTCCTTTCTTCCTTGTTCTTTGCAGCTCTCAGTCTGTTCCTGCCTTTGAGCCATTGCACTAACCATGCTCTTTGGACAATGCTCCTTCTAGTCACTGCTGTCAGCGAGACTCTTCCCCCCTCTAAGAGGTCCTTCCTGACTACTCTGATCTAAAAGAGCCACCCAGTCACCGCGTCACAGACTGGCTTCAGGTTGCTGTAGCAGCTTCATGTCTGCCTCATGTATTTCTTGTTCAAACACTGTGTTTCTCGTCTGTCTCCCCCACCAGAATCTCAGCTCAATGAAAACAGGGACTCATCTATTCTTCCACTCTATCTCCAGCACCTAGCACAAGTCAGTCACTTTATAAGTATTTATGGAATCAATACATAAATTACACCTCTAATTTATTACAAATAACTTAAGTAGAGACCGAAAGGCTAATAAACTGAGTGTTCATAAATATAGCTGACCAAAAGTCTAAAATGTTCCTATCCTTGAGAAAATTCTTGGTGTAATTTTGAATTGTTTTATTTTTGTTTAAAATTAAAAATACTTTGTAATAAGATGAGATCCCAGTTGTTGATTCTTTGTGCTAGTTCCCGTGCTACTGAGGTTTTGTTCATAAAGTCTTTTCCTATGCCAATGTCTTCAAGAGTTCTGCCTAACTTAGCAAATTTAGTGTTTCTGTCTTAATATTTAGATCTTTAATCCATTTCAATCTTAGTTTAGTGCATGGTGATAGGTATGGGTCTAGTTTTAATCTTTGGCAGGTTGAAATCCAGTTTTTCCAACACCATTTATTAAAGAGGCTATCTTTCCTCCAATGATGGTGGTTGGCTCCTTTGTCAAAGATGAGGTGGCTGAGCATGTCTGGAGTTGTTTCTGGATCTTCTAATCTATTCCACTGATCCTCGGGTCTGTTCCTTTGCCAGTACCATGCTGTTTTTATCACAGTAGCTTTGTAGTATGCATATTGAGGCCATACTCTTAAGTGAAATAAATAGGACACGTGTAAATACCGAATAGTTTCTCTAGTGTGAGAAACTGAAAGTGTAAATAAGGGTTAAGATGATTAAAATGAATAACTGATAATCTGAAATAGGAAGAAAAGGTCCAAAGGGGTAGGGGTGGTGGGAGGGGGAAGGGAAAGGAAAGAAGGGAAAGGAAAAATTACGAGAAAAGAAAAAAATGGAAACAAAGTCTATGTAAATAGGGAAGGGTGGAGGGGGTGAAGGGTGCACAGGTAACGGGGAAAAAAATAACCAAGATACATCATGTACAGGTACAAGCACCCAATGATAAATGTAAATGTATTTATACCTAAAATGTACCAATAAAAGAATTTAAGGAAAAAAAATGCACCTAATATATAAAAAAAAAATACTTTGTAGCCCTGAAGATGACCTGAGGCCAAATTATCATTATTATTTTTATAAGAGATGGTAACCCTTGAATGAAATCATAAACATGAAGGCTTACTTTTCTGACAGCAGACAAATAAAAATGCCATCACCAATTTTTTTCTTAAGAATTGCTGGAGGTAGGCATTTTTATTTCCAGGACTGCACTTTACTCGCAGAGCCCTCTCTAAATCAGCTCGGATTTCTGCTGCAAGGCTTTGCTTGTTGGTTTGTGTCTCTGTGATTCTCCATGGGCAATGGCAAGCAGCAGGTCTCTCTCTCTCTCTCACTTTAAAAGCTTTCCATCTAATATGGAGGATTAAACCATCTGTTGGACTTTTCTTCTGCTGGTAAATTAAAACAATTATTTTCACTTTTCCTTATTGGACTCGTTTGCCAGGCCTTTAATTTGATTGAGTCATGCGACAAAGGCTATTAAGGTGCCCTTTCTCTGCCTTCTCTAAAGCTGCCATCAAAACACAGGGTGCCAGTCTCTATGCACTTCACCCACTTTACAGAGAGAGCCCTCTGGGCCTGGTGACCCCCAGCCCCAGCACAGGCTTCTGTGCCTCACCTGCTGCAACCCCAGCCCACTCCCAGCAGCACTGCAGTTGTTGCTGGAGGACAGCAAGTTCTTTCCGCTCCAATGCACAGTGCTTGGTAGTTACATCTACTTGCATGAAGACACTTAATTTTTGTGAGGATGAGGGTAGTTGTCAGTTCCAAAGACCATATATGCTTTTTTTTTTTTTTTTGCAAACTCCATCTCTGTGGCTTCAGATAAATAAAGCATGAGCGTTCATTATTCACAGACTGACTATAGTCGCCCTGAGTTCTGCTTGGTGACAAGAGACCACACAGCTGCTGGGAATAAAATACTCCAGAAGTATGAATTAATGTTAATGTTTTCCCACAACATTAAAAACTATCGATATTAAAGGAGCTGTGATTTCATGGTTCTGTGCCCCAGGAAGAAGCTGCACTGCTGACTGCTATCTTTGAGGCGAGAACTAGAAACCCACAGCACGCCCTGCCCTGCCCACAGACCTCTCCTGTCCCGATGCACACAATCCTCATGACCACCTGGGGAGGCAGGTATCACCACCGTTCCCACTTTACAGGTGACAAAGCCCGGCTCGGGAGATTAAGTGGTGCAGCACCGGTAGGCAGCATAAAGGTGGCCAAAGAGGTTCAAGATCTAAGTCTCCAGAACCTGTGACAACAGTAAGTCACATGACAAAGGGGCTCTGCAGATATGAGGAAGGCTATGGGCTGTGACATGGGCAGCGTATCCTGGGTGATGTAAGTGAGTCCAACACGAGTCCTTTAAAGCAGAGGCCCTTCCCAGGTAGGGTTGGGGGAACAGATGTGGAAGACGCAAGCCAGGGAACTCTGGTGACCTTGTAGCTCCAGGAAGCAAGGGTACCGATTCTCTCCTGGAGGCTCTGGGAAGGAGCAGCGCCTGCCAGCACCTGGGCCCCAAGGTGAGACCTGGGCTGACTTCTGACCTAGAAAACAGCAGTGAGGCCGTCTATGTTGTTTTAAGCCACTAAATTTTTGACAATTGGTTGCCAGGGTAATAGAAAACTAATGCAGGTTTTGTACCTGAAGTCTTTCCAGAGGAACTGATTTTGAGATTTCTGGGTTGGTTCTGTAATCTAACTAGACTTGAAGGCACCAGTCACCCTGTTTTCAGTGGCAAAAAGGCACTGGCAGTCCAGGGGCTGATTTGGCACCTAAGTCACCGCTGAAGGCCTCACTTCCAGTACCCAAACCCGGGACCGAGTCACTGCCTCTTCCCTCTTTAGTTCTTTCCTGAAAGCACAGCCTTTGAGATGGCTTTTCCAGTCCATGAGAAATGAGCTCTGCAGAGGTTCTTTCTGAGGCCAAATTTGGATGAAGATTCAGTCCTCAGTGATCAGCTTTCCTAACTGCATGGAGAGGTGTTTAGTGAAGTGTGCTGGATGGAGTGTGTCCTGGAGGAGAACAGGGAGAACAGCCTGCTTTGGAGTTCTGGTTCTCCCACTTAATATTTGTGTGATTTTATGCAAGTTCCTGGGCCTCTTAAAGTCTCTTTCCCCATCTGTGAGATGCAGAGGCTAACAGTGGTCATGTGTAAGGCTTTTCCGCAGGTAAAGCTCAGAATGCACTGGAGCCGCACATGGGGGCTACTGCTCTGCAGCAGTGTCCCGTGTGGCCACACCCAAGTGCTCTTTGCATCCAGATAATGAAGCAAAGAACATCAGGCAAGAGACATTAACACTGTATAAAAACACAGTTTTCTCCCTTCAGGTTCTTAACACCTGATGGTGGGTTTTGAAGCAGCTTTTGCCAGAAAAGCCGACTTACTAATCAGCTTTGGAGTATAGAATTGCTCCAAATGACAGGGTTGGCCCTGGCTTCTGCTGATTTAATTTTTTTTTTTGTCTGGAGGAGAGAAAATGAGTACCATGCAGATCATTTTGTGAAGGGTTTTATGTTCATAACAGAGGTTTCAATTTGAATAGTCTGTTGGAAAATCTGGGTGGGCAAAATGGCCTGCCAAAGAACATGAAGTAATTGAGGTTAGGGCTGCATTTCCTCATGTGGGCTCTGCAGAGCACGGTGATAGGTATTGTCCAACAAAATGTCCTTCGAGAAAAGGGCCCAGTGGTCCAATAGCCCAGGGTATGCAGGACTAACAAAATTAAACCTCTCTCTCTCTTTTTCAAGGACTTCTAGCTCCCCAATTGCCGACAGAGATGATGGATTCTGTCATGGTTCCCTCAAAGGGACCATCTTGTGCAGTGTCTCTCCGAGCCGGTGTGACCTGGAAACCCACTCTGTGTGCTGTGTGGTAAGCTCTGGCGAGGAGGACTACCCATCTGTGGCAGCCAGATGGGAAAGGCTGTGTTAGTGGTGGATAAAGCACACTTCATTCTTCCCTCCTAGCAGACACCGGGTCTCATGTCCTCTACCTGCACAAGAAGACCAGACCAGAGCTTGTCCCAAGCTCCCCCGCCGAGCTGCAGTGTGGCATTCAGTTCATGAAAACCTTGACAGAAAACGGGTCTGGTGCAGGTAAACACACAGGGAAAGCGATGAGACGGGCCAGTCTGTAGTGCAATTTTACAATCCCTTTGTTGAGAAATGTAAAATGTATTAAGATTTCTACCCTGAGGGGCCGAGGCAGGCAAATCACAAGTCTGAACCCAGTCTGGGCAATTCAGTGATTTGGGGAGACCCTGTCTCAAAATAAAAAAATAAAGAAAGGGCTGATGATGTAGCTCAGTGAGAAGGCCCTGGGCTCAATGTCTAGTACAGCAAAAAAAAAAAAAAAAAAAAATGACTTTTAAACATTTTTATTCATCTTGTAAGTTATTTGAACAGTATGAAAGGGCAATTGAGGTGCCTTTACTTGATGTAATATATAAATGGATGAATGATTCATCAAAGAATTGTCTTGATTGGTGTAATTATGATTTCTGCAGTCATGATTTGCATAAAAAGCAGAGTCTGCCATATCTGAGAATTAAATATTAACTACCTAGATATTTAAAAGGTTTAAACCAAATTTCAGCTCAAGATCTTACATACAATTGGTCACTCCGAGTCTTTAGAGATGCAACTATATAATAGACTTCATTCCAAAACAGCATAACATGGATCTTTCCTTTTAGAATCTAATGCCAACAGTGCTTTTCAAATGTGACTTTTTAAAAGACTTATTTTATGCTATCTTGTAAATACCTGGGCTTACTTACATTTTCCTGTGTGCTATTCTCTCTCTCTCTCTCTCTCTGTCTCCCCCTCTTTCCTTGTGACAGGGTCTTGCTATGGTCTTGAACTCACTATGCAGCCCAGACTGGCCTTGAACTCTCAGCAATCCTCCTGCCTCTGCCTCCGGAGTGCTAGGATTATAGGCTTTTTTTTTTTGAGATAGGGTCCCACTATGAAGCTATTTACTTTCAAGCATTAACATAATACACTTTTACAGAAGCACAGATCTCTCCCAGCACTGTTCAGTACCTGCTGTGGAAATTCCTTCCCATCATCTCAGTGTCCAGTCTTGAATGGATAAGTGAGTAAAACAATTTAAAAGTTGACTTTTGAACGTGGCAAAATGTAATTAATTTCAGTTATTTTGGTGGAAGTATAGTTTAATAGAAAATAGTTTTGTTCTTTTAAACTGTTTCCTTGGCTGTTAAAGCAGCACAAGACACATCATCACCAAACAATGCATTTATTCTAGGAAATAAGCCTTGGTGCATCTTTAATCTCTAAAAAATTCAACCCAGGCTATTAATTTTCTGGTCACAGGCTATGTCACTCTTTTCTTACTGGATGAAGTATTTCTTTTTGCCTGCAGGCAAAAAGTAGTAACGTATTGGTAGGACTTCAAGTCTGGCCTATCATGAAATATTCAACACAGTATAAAGAATAGAAGTAAATCACAGAAATTAAAACTCCTCCTAGTCCTTACAGCTGATCAATGAAAGATGTTAAAAGACTGCAGACAAGAGGGAAAATAAATGGAGCAGGAGAAAGGCACAAAGTGTGAAAGACCTTGAGAAGGCTAATTTGACTTGGGAAGTCCAGCCCTAAAAGCTGGAAAGAAGCAGAGGCTAAGAGAAGAGGTAGGAAATGACAGAGCAAGGGAAGAAACAAAACTCATGGGAATGAGGCCGGGGATTTAGCTCAGTGGTTCCGCCGCCTGCCTCGCAAGCAGGACCCATGTTCGATTCCCAGTACCAAATAAAACAAAACAAAAAAACCCAAAACTCATGGGAATGAAAGTCAGGGCCATGACGCAGTGGGAAGACCTATTTCAATAGGCAGGGCCTTATGACTGATGGCTGATTGACCAATAATAATTCTTTCTCTGAAGCTGTACACAGCATGCTGACATAGAATGGACAAGGTAAATAGGTAAAACAGAACGTGGCCTGTGGGAAGCTCATAAATACCTTCACAGAGGAGGCCCATCAGAGCTGTGCCCATGAGAGTGAGTTTGTGGGGAGCTGTAAGGGGAGAGAGACAGGTCAAAGGAGGTAGGGGACTTTTCTGGCAGGAGGATCTGCAGACACAATGGCATGAGCTTATGCCATTGTCCAGGGAGGGCTAAGTAATAAGATTTGCTTTTTAGGAGGATACTTACAGCCACAGTATGGACTCATTAAGAGGTTGCTACAGTTGTTTGAGCAAGAGATGATGAAGGCCTAAGTTAATGCAAGGGTCACGGAATATGAAAGAGGGGTCAAGTTTGAGACTTTAAAACATGCAGGAATGGAGGATAGGGTGGGAATGAGGGTGGGGAGAAGCTGTGTGCATCTCAGACTTCTAGTATGGGAGGCTGCCACAGAAATGTACGAGAGCAGAGAGTTTGGGGGTGGAGACACAGCATTCAGCTTTAGGCAAGATCGGAGAAACCTCTGGAGCATCCAGGTGGGGAGGAGAAATAAGTAGATAGAAGAGGATCCAGAAAGAGAGGCAGGTCTGGGTCTGGAAGGAGGACGATGTAGGAGAGCAATACATCACTTCTAAAGTCCGCAGGAGAGAAGGTGGCATACACAGGCCTGAAGGGCTAGCAGAGGCAGGGGACCCTCCGAGAGCCTGGGAGGGGTCGGTCAGAGAGGAAGAGGAGAAAGGGAAACCAATGAGGATGCCAGAAGGGAGAGGCTCCAGGGGAAAGCGACGGGCACAGAGCAAACGCTGCACAAGTTTCCAGAAGGATCCGGACCAAAAAAAGCAATTCTGTTTGGCAATATGTGAAGAGCGATATCCTCAACTTGAGGAGAGTCTAGAGTGTGGGGAAGGAGGAGTGAATGGAGCTGGGAGGGTGGACCGGGCCAATGAGCATGGATGATTTGGGTGCACTTTTGGTGGTGAATGGATGAAGGGAAACAGGACAGTTTATGAAAGGGTGTGTAGCATAAGAAGGATTTTTCTTTTTGAATAAGGGAACCTAAGTAGCTCTGTAGGGTGAGAGAAAGGAGGGAAGAGGGAGACGATAAAGTGAAAGATCTGTGAGCATTTGTGTTCCAGTGGCCAGAATGACGTGTCAGAGATGGTAGGCTCCCTACGTGGAGTTCTTGTCACAGACCAGGAATTGCTGCTCTATTCTCCTGGGAAACAGCGGTGATCACCAGGAAACACGTCCCAGTAAATGCCAATGTCACCCCGCGCCCCCCATACTAGAGATTAAACCCAGGGCTTATGTAGGGTAGGCAAGCACTATACCACTGAGCTATACACCCAGTACTTTTTATTTTTTATTTTGAGACAGGTCTCACTAAGTTGTCCGGGGTGGCCTTGAACTGGTAATACTGGGATTATAGGTCAGCTCCCTGGCATCCAGCTTCAGTTTCTGGCTTCAGTGTCACACTTTTCAATGCTAGCCATATAAATAAAGTAGGATCATACTGTTGTGCTTGTTTTAATGACAGAGGATGGGGACAGATAGCTTTTTGAGGTCACTTCGAATCCTAAAAATGTATGATTCAGCATGATTTGATTCTTTTTACAAATTCGCTGTTTTACCAATCCAGTTCTTGGTTAGACGCTCAGCAAGATGATCCCAGTTTTCTTCTTCTAACACCCCCTTTCTAGAATATTCTTTCTTATTCTCTAATCTCAGTTGACTTAACAAGTTACATATCAACCATTTCTATCATGTTCCCCTTTTTGTATTCACTAGATGATAGCCATAGTATCAAATGAAACACCTCAATTAATAGCCGCAAATGTCTAAGGCAGCACATTTCATTCTTTCTTTACATATCACTCAGGATTGTACTCCTGCTGCCTATTCCTCTCAGTCTGTTGCATGGATCTCAAAAAGGACTTTTTTGAAGACTTAGCATCTCAATGTATTAGTCAAATACACTTACACTTTGTAAGTTATTTGTGTGACAAGAAAAGGTTGTATTAGTTCTCTAACATCTGCAGGTGCTGGTGGTCTTGCTGGTAAAATGTCTGTAGTTCTTACCACATAGATCAGGAACTGCCAGCCAACAAAGTAGTACTGTACACTTCTTGCTGAGACAGCCTGAGTTATATTTGGAGCGAAGTTCACCAATAAATATGTTCCTGCAATGGCCAGTGTCATACCTTAAATAAAAGAGAAAAGGCAAACCAAATTGACAAGGGACACTTAGAGCTCTGTGTCGATGCAAACATTACCTAGAAATGGGGCATTAGTTGTGAAGGAGTGGATGGTCCCTCCCTATTAAAATAGGACTCATCCAACCATTCCTAGGTAGCATCACACATTCACTGAAAGAGGTAATCTTCAAAGGAGGAATAAAAGCTCAGGAATGAATGGAGCAGGAAGTAACTTTTGAATTTTCTCAGTTGTTCCAGGTGAATCCTGGGCTCTTAGGGGAAACTTTCCTGGAAGGTAGAGCAGGTCAGACCATGTGCATGTGGAGGCCCGAGAAGCCTCCAAGCCAACTGACCATTTCTGTGTGTGCCAGTGAATCACGAGGGAGCAGCGGCCTGGAGGTGAAGCCCAGCTACTCACTTATACTGGGAAACAATAGACATTATTAAACACTGTAATAAGAGCAAAATGATGAAAATCATATATCAGAACCTGAGGGAAAATTACTGGTCAGTCATGCCCTTTTCCTTGGGACAAAAAGATTATATATTATAATTATTCTGAATTAGGTTCCTAGAAGGAAGGGATTTAAAAAAAATGGTTCCTAAACTGTGCATATACAGTAGTGTAAAGCCATTGAATATACTCTAAAAATTCTCAGAAACCTTGGTTTCTTTTGTGAAATCTAAGTTTCTTATTTATATTAAGTACCTCTACCAGATTTTCTTCATTTCATCTATCTAGTGTCAATTAACTTTCCTGTGTTTTAATTTCATTTTGAGTTGGTAATACATTTATGTGGTACAAAATTCCAGGGATACAGTGAAAAGTTAAGTGATCATGAAGAGTGAAGTGTTTCTCACACCCTGATGGCCCCAGTTCCCCTCCCTGAAACTGCCCCTGAAAAATTCAAAGTTCACTGCTACTTGTTAGTTGGAAGAGCTCGGACAAGTTACTGATCCAGCTGTAACTCAGTCTCCTCATCTCTAGGATAGAGTTAAGTCATCAGACCCCAGGAGTCTGGCTCTGTAAGAGGCCATTCTGGGCAGCAGAATACTCTTGGAAGCTCACCTGGAGGCCAGATGTGACAGTGGACCTAGGACCGATCCATCTCAGGATGCTGACTGCCTGCCATGAATCAAAGACCTTCTCAATTCTGCTTAAATGGATCTACAATGGTGTCCCTAACAATATAGCCCAGGGATGAGCAGGCACCGTTACCAGGACTGTCTGTAAGGAGGCAACAACCCACTTTTACAACAGAAGGCATAGCAGGAAGAACTGGCTGGCGAGTTCTCATTGCTTAGTGAAGACTACTCTCCATTGGTCTTGACAGAAAATAGGAGAGAAATTACCTAATATTAACAGAACCCACAGAAGCAATTATTGTAGCACTATGCTACCCACAGCTAACTTCAGAAACTGGTGCACACAGCAATAGCATCTGGATATTGGACTCAAGAATTTTTTTTGGGGGGGTGGGGTGGGTATCAAACTCGGGTCCTTGCACTTGTGCAGCAGGCGGCGAAACCACTGAGCTAAATCCCCGGCCGTATCTGGACATTGGAAAGGACCAGAAACAGAGCAGCCAGGAAGCTGAGGGTAAGCTGCAGGCAGTAGTGCAGGTCTGGAAGCTAGATGCCACCTGTGTCAGGGATGTGGCCCATTCTCCTCCCTCACAGCCAAACCAGCAGCAATTCCATTGCCTCATCAAGTTCAGCTCAAGTTACTTAAAAGTGGGCTGGCTAATGGAACTTTCACATTTATCTTTATACAATATATGAATAATGAAATCTCTTTCTTTAAACTTGTCCTACATGTACAACAGAAACACAAGTAAGTCCCTGCCCTGCTCTTTGCAATAATATAGACTAGGTTTCCTGGGAGAGGATGTGACAAAGAGCAGTAATCCTTGTTTTTAAGCTGATATTCTCAAAACTACTGATTTCACAGACAAGTATGGCTGACATATTAAAATGTGATGATAATAAAAACTATAATAGAATAGACAATACTCTGAGCCCAATTCTAAGTGCTTTATATATAATTAATTTTGTCCTTACAACAAGTTCTTTATCAGTGAGGGATACATTCCAAAGCTTCTGCAATCTCAGATAGTACCAAACTCTACATATACTAGTTTGTTCTCTACATGTACGTAGCTAAGATAGTTTAATTTATGTTAGCCACAAGAAGATATGAACCACAATGACTAATAATAAAATAGAACAATTACAATAATATACTTTCATAAAAGTTATTTAAAGAGCTCATGAATTGTGTATTTCTGGAATTTTCCATTTAATATTTTTGGTTTGCAGTTGATCACAGGCAACTAAAGCCACAGAAAACAAAAGCATGGATAAGAGGGGACTATAGTTTATTGTTGTGTGGTTATATAACATATACAATATAGAATTCATATAGTATATAATAAATAGTAATGTGTACAACATATCACGTATACTCAAACTATTACTGTCCACATTTGACAAATGAAGAAACTGAGTCACAAAGGGAAAGACTTTTGCCTGGGATTTTCCAGCTAAGTGGAGTGCTTGGACCGGACCCCAGGCAGTCTATTTTCTTAACACTTACATTCTGCCCCTTGCATTAATGAGGGAGCAACGCTGCTGAATGGAAAGCTCTGGGTAGTGTAGTCTATATGAGTGGAGCCCTGTGGCTGTACAGAGTACAAAACGGCAGGATAGAACCAATTCCTATGACAGAGGTCTCCAGGGTCTCATGGAATTTCTGGTCCCAAAGTTCCTTTAGCAGAACATTCCCAAATTGGTTTTCCCTGTAACTAGTTTCAAAAGATGGATGTCCCACCAAAAAGATCCAAGAAAGTGAACTATATTTGGAAGAGGTGAGTTAAGCAAAGGAGTGGTTCCACTGGAAGACCTCTCAGACCCTCCAACGTGGTGATGTTCACCATGAATCCCTGAGAGGAGGTGGCACTTGTCATATTTTCTAAACACATCTGACCGTTTATATTGCCTTGAAGTCATGTTTTGGGGAATCTATTGTATTTGGGGGTATGCTTGCTTTGAACTGGACCTGGCTGTGAGAATACAGCCTTTGTTTCAGCAGGCTATTGTTCTGCTGTTGTAAAAGTGTCTGGTAGACACCTGTGGGCAGGAATGAAGTATAACTGTGATTGCAGGGAACTGAGCCTGGACTCAGGTGTGTCCTGGTGCTGCAGCTGTTCACTGTCTGTTCCGGCCTGACAAGATCCTGCTCTTGCCCTTAATAAAAATCTTAAATCTTCTTGAATTTTGTCCCCTCTACCTAGTTGGATACCAACTATTATTAACTGCCTGTTTTCCAGTTTGTGGAATTTGCGTTGACCTGGTTTCTGGGAGCCTTCAGAGTTTTTTCAGCTAACCTGACTCCAAACAAGATTGCTGTCTTGTTCCTTTGGTCCCCGCAGTGCATCTCTTGATCCACAGGAGTCCAACAAGGGGTCACAGAGTTAACTGGACTCCTCAACACCAGACCATTTAGAACTTCTCTTCTGGAAGTGTAGTCATTCTGGGTTTCTTGGGCTGATGGCGGCTGAACTGTAAAGGAGCCTGGGAGATCTCAGTAATGCAGTGAATCCAAATAGCCCGAGATCTGCTGTCACGAAGGCTCTCATTGTTGAGGCAACTCTGAAACCAAAATGCCCAACCTGTCCCTTCAACTGGAAATGATGCTTTATTCAGCTGGATTCTAGATACTGGACCCAAACCATGCTTGCTTCGGGTGTGTGAGAAGGATGGAGGAGGCCTCTGTTTCATTATTAATATCATGGCTTTCCATGGAGGGTCTTTGTAGGTGACTTAATGTAACCTAGTAATTATCTCTGGGCAGTGCTGTTGAGTTGACTGTAATTTTTATTTCTATGATGACATTATCTGGGCTTAAATCAAATAGAATCTCACAGACTATTAGCTTTGATACTTTTGATGATGGAGGGGGAAGAAAGGGGGAAAATACTAGAGTTTTTGGCTGGTTGGAGGGAGAGCAATCTGGTGTTTTTAAAAGGAAAAATAATCATTAAAATAATTTAAAATTATTAATCCACTAAGAATCAGAGCAGAGTCCAAAACTTGTCAGTGAGTTAATAATAGCTGGCCATTCTCTTCAGACATAGCTTTTGTGAGGTCATTTTTTGAAGGCTAGTGGTGAAAAGCTTCATAGCCACAGAGCAGCATTTGGCAATAAATTAGTTCAGCTTGTTTCCACATGGCCCAAAATCTTCATTTGTTCCACCATGAAAAACAAACTTTCATTTGCTTCAAGTAGGGGAAAATAAATGATTTTCCTTCTCACATTTTGACAATTTAATTCTTAGCATGCTCATATGTAAATCTTTAAAAAACACCACTAGCTATTCTTTTCCCTGTTTGGTTTTAGTCCCTGTAAAAATAAAAAAGGCATTTTTTTGCTTTTCACAGAAAGAGCTAAATTTTCTTAAGGCAATAGCAATAAAGGCCCAAAGTAAACACATGTGCCTCAACACATTGAGTGAGGTTTGGAAAAGTCCTTCTCTAAGTATGAATCACTATATCTCAAATGATGATAATCTTGAGATCTTCTTCACTAGAGGAAAGGGTGTGGGATAGGAATAAAAGAATCCTATTTTTTTACCATGACAGCATTTTAAAGGTAAGAATGGATTGCTTAGACCAATGGTGTGAAATAAACATGATTTATCACTTATATAGCCCTACTCAAAAAGCATTCAGTTAGGAAGGCAAAAACAACAAAAACAAAAACAAATCAGAGTTGTGGGGCATATTAGCTGGATGACTAAAGTTTGAAGAATAATCGAATCAAGGTTTTTTTCTGATTAACTAGCAGAGTGCAGTGGTGGGTGATTATAGCAGTAATAATACTAATGGCCAACATCTTTGAGCACTTATTGTGGGGCAGACCCTGCTTTAAGAGTTTTGATACCTGAACTCATCTAATCCTGGGAGGTAGGTAATATTCTCTTCATTTTACAAATGAGGAAACTGAGGTTCAAGGAGCTTATTTATGTGGTTTTGCAAAGGTCACACAGTTCACTGGTACTAGAGATTTACAATAAACAACTATGATCTAGCTTTATCAGGTTTCCATGGTTAGAATACTGGCCCGTGGCCTACTAATTATATGACACTGGGCAAATTATTTAATCTAAGTATCAGACTTTGGTTCTGTAAATGGGTTGTTCCTATATTTAAATAACACAATCCATGTAAAATACAACAGAGTACCTGGCAAGAGTGAATATTTAATAATTATTTTATGTATTAAAATACAAAAAAATCAGAGTTCTAAAGAATTAATTTGAAGTTTTATTTTGTTGTCTTCCTGATATGTGTGTGTGTGTGTGTGTGTGTGTGTGTGTGTGTGTGTGTGTTCCCATTCCTTATTTACATTGCTAGTATTACCTCTTGGGTATCACTTAGGAATGAAGGTGATCATAGTCGTTATGATTATGTAGTGAGATTATGTAGTGATTATTGACGTGACAGCATTTTACATTTCTCAAACTGCTTTTATATAGATTATCCAGTTTGGTCCTCAAACAATCTTATGTATTTGTCAGCAAACAGAGGCTGTGAGAAGGCCTGAATCCAGGTTTGAATCCACAAGGGTGGGTTTAACTTATATCCTTTAATTGCCTGAGCTAATTCATCACTTCCGGTTTAGTCACTAAAGTTCATACTGTAATCAAATCATCTGTATGAACTGATGTTTCTATTTTTTCCTTTTCCAAGGTTACAACTTTCATTTATTTTTCTCCTAATCCTTATATGCAGTAAAATAGTAAACAGAAACTGAATTTACCTTTCTACACCTTTGTTAACACTTCTTGTGTCAAGCCCTTTGTGTGCCCTTCACTTTATCCTTGGATGTGGCCTATGCCTGTCCTATGTAGCTGTCAAACCAATTCAAATGGTGTAAAAAAGTCCCAGGCAGAGTCGCTTCTCTTTATGTTACTCTAGTGGTTGTCAGCAGAGGATGATTTTTGCCCTTAGAGGACATTGAGTAACGTCTAGAGACATTTTGGGTTGTTCTTACTGGGGTAGAGGCCACTGGAGGCATCTTTTAGGTGAAGGACTGAGGATGAAAACACTCAACAATGCAGGGGGGCAGATAGCCCCCCACAAGGAAGAATTGCCCAACCCAAAATGTTAGTAGTGCTGAGGTTCTGAAACACTGTTCTAAACTAAAGTTTCATGGCTCATGTTTTTAAAAACTTATTTATGAGTATATTTTATCATGGACTGTAAATTATTTCAGGGCAGAGATTCAGCTGTAATTATATTTTATCATTAATATTCAAGATAATTAGTAAATCCTCCATTGTATCTATTGTATTATCTCATAAATTAGATTAATGTCAGTAATCAACTATTAACAACCAAAGATGGCAAATGTTCAATAAAATGATTCAAAGTTTCCTTAACAGGGAGGTAGACCTTTTGCAGATGGAAAGGGCACCTGGGAATGGAGGGAGAGGGGAGGAAGGAGAAGGAAAGGGAAAGTAAAAAGAATTAAAATGTAATATGTACATGTACCAACTTGCCAGGATGAAAGTGTTCGTTATGTATCACAAATATATACTAATAAGAAAAAGTTTCCTTAAGGCATTTATAAATGAAAAAAAGCAGGACTTAAATTTTTTAATTTATAAAACTCAGGCACTGGTCATTCTTATTTCTGATTTCATATGACTTCCTCAAATGATTCCATAAACCACAACATGTAAAATAGAGTATAGAAAAATAGCATGTTGGAAGAGATACAATTCACATATGAATGCATTTAGAAAAACATTTTAACCATGAAAAATTTGACAATGTTGACTAAAAACTCTACTAGCAGAATCAAACCAAGGAAGAAAGAAAAAGTGAAAACACTTTCAAGACATTAGGCTCAAGGGAAACATGATCAGGGAAAACAAATGCTCAACATACCAATACTGGTGTCACATTTAGAGCTCACATTTTTGAAAAATATGATCTCCCTGGAAGAGGGGAGGCATTGTTTTATTTAAAGTGCCTAAAGTATCTGTGTTCATTACCATATGTCAGCAGCAATTCAAACAGGTTTTGTCAGAGAAGAAAATATAAATATAATTCTTCTCACCAATGATATTTCCAACAAAACCATGAAGATACAATGAATAAATGATAATGCTGCTGTGTAACAGAAGTCTTTCTTACAGCTAGGAAGGCTACTGTTAATTTCTATTAATAACTGTATTTCAAAATAGGATTCTGAAAAGCAACCTTCTGTGTTACTTTTAGTCACTAAATTTAGACGCTAAATACAATAGGTAGTTTTAGAAGGAGTAAAACACAATAGGCTTTTACTTGGTGCACTTAATGTTGCATGGTTTTCATTTTTATGCATTAGAAATGTAACAATATAGTGAATATGTCCTTTGAAGTGCAACAGTCTACTAGGTAATCAGATGTTTTGATTGAATTTTATTATCTTCATAAAAATTTTACAACATTAGTAAATAATATTACAAAATAATTTGCTATCACCAATAGCATATGGAGTAATCATAATGAAAATGGAAGTATTTTATGTGAGATGAGATAGTGGCTCCAAGATATTTCTAAATGAGAGTTTGCATCCATTTCAGTATTTTTCTCTGTTTTTATTTTTCCTTTATTTTATTTTTTTTTGGTACCGGGGATTGAACTTGGGTCCTTGCGCTTGCACAGCAGGTGGCGAAACCACTGTGCTAAATCCCTGGCCCTTTTCTCCGTTTTTAAAGCACACATTTTTAAATGGATAGCATTATTTGTTTCCTGATCAAGCAATGTTACAGTTAATAATTACTCACCAAGTATATCTGAGGCTCGCAAGTTTTCTTTTAGAAACATAACAGAAAAAATGGCACTACCTGTAAAGAAAATGGCCATTAGTGGAAATTTGATACAAAACATGTATTATGCAAAGCCATTTGTGTCTTTTGCCTGACTGGCTGTATCCTAAGCAGAGACATCCAGCAGTTGTGGCTATAAAAATGCCTTTCTTCTCCTTGGTGGTTGAAGATACATGGAAATTGGCCTAATTTACAATGGACCTGGGACAATGTGTCTGTGATAGTGCCAGGTATGCAGGGAGGACTTGAAAGTTTAGTCAGTGACTAAATGAAGGGAAGAAAGAAAGAAAGGAGAAAAGGAAGAGGGAAGGAGAGAGAAAAAAAGAGAAAGGAAGGAAGGAAGGAAGAAAGACACAAAGACAGAAAGAAAGGTGTATGATATAGGAAGGGAAAAGCAGGAAGAGATAAGAGGGAAAGAAAGAAAAGAGAAAGAACTTTATGCCCCAAACTGAAGTTCATTAACTCCCAGCATCTACTCCTCTACTCCCTACTGCAAGGACATCTCTATTCTCTTAGAAACATCAGAATTGGGATTCTCCCCCGTTCCCCTCCTGCCCACTCCACACCCAGTGGGCCTCTGGCTTACATCTGCGTTTTACTCCCTGCCACATCCACTCCTTCGTCTTCGCTTCTCTTGTCACTGCCCCAGCTCAAGCCAGCATGGTTTCTGGGTTAGACCACCATCCTTACAGCATTTCTCATTTCTCTCCTTTCCCCCACACCACCACCAGAGTGATCTTTCTAAAATGCAAATTTAATGTAAATCTACAGCTTTAAAATCTCTTAATGGCTTCTTGTCACCCATAGGACAAAGACTCCAACTGAATGTGACAGCCAAGGCAGCCATGATTTTCCTCCTGCCACATTTGCCCTTCATCTCTTTCATATTCTAAGCTCACCCTTACTGAATATGTAACCATAATTCCCAGAATCCATCATGTAGTTCCACGTGTGACTCTGGCCCCATTTTGTGATCAATTCTAGACTCAAATGGTGCCTCTGAATTCCTCCAGGCTGAACTGGCTGTTCAACCCTTATGCTGGGATGACCTTTATATATGGTTTTCATTATACCTATGATTTATTTTCTTATTTTCATCTAAAAGACTATTAATTCCTTTTCATCTTACAGATGTCATTTTATTCTTCTAAGACCTCCAGTGTGTAGCTAGTATCTGGCACGCAGTGTTTATTCCATGAAATGAAAAGTGTTTGTGGGACCTCAGTCCTGCAATTTCTGGCCCTTGCGATGTTTTGGAGCTTCTCTGCTTGATGCCACTGGACC